ACAACTAGAATTCTTACTAACATATTATAAATCAATGGCGACCCGGATATGACGTCAGTTTGACGGCTGCAGCTACAGTAAACCACATTAAACTATATGTATTTCGCGAACCCGTCGTTCTCACGCGGCAATACCCAGAATTTTTCACCCTTACCCAAGCATCAATTACCGGACGCTGGAAACCCAAACCGGGTTTACCAAAATTGAGATATCTGATACCGCCCTGTCATTTCATGACAGTTTGTCATGACAGTTGAGTGCTCCCCTTTTCACGGGAGGCCGTTGGAAGTAAGAGGGTCATCAATCACTTTAGGCACACTGATTATCCCGAAGTTCCTGAGATCGATACGGCATCGATACGTGACATTTGACAGAAGGGCTCACCCCGACTCGCCTTTCTCTCTGTGGCAACAAGAAAGCCGTTGCCTAATTAACGCTAATTCGGTGTTATTTAACGCTTTTACAGTCTGATAGTGCTCTTGTTAACTAATCCAGCAGACGATAATGTTTATAAACACGAATAATGCGTCCTACTAATGGCGATAGACACTGCGAATAAAAGTCTCTGAAATATGATGTTGTCACACGAAACATATTTCCTAGTAGCAAATGAAAAGGAACTTAAAGGGGTATACTTCTAGTTTAACTTCTTCTTTCTTCTCCTGCCTTTCTTTCCCCCAATGGAGCATAAGCCCTCAACCAACTCACGCCAAGTCGTTCTATCCTTCGCCATTGCATGGAGCTCTCCCCACGTCCTCCCCATCCTTCTAACTTTATTATCCAGATCTCTTCTCTATGCGTTTTTTGGCCTGCCTTTATTCCTATGCCTCTGTGGGTTCCAAAGCAAAGACATTCTAGTTATGCTGTTCTCCTGTTATCTCAGTGTGTGTCCTATTCAACGCCAGCGTCTTTTCCTCACCTCTTGGTCCACTGGAGCTTGCTTAGTTCTCTCCCAAAGCTCTACATTAGTTATTCTATCATACCATTTAATTCCTTCTATTCTGCGCAGGAACCAGTTAGTGAATGTCTGTAATTTATTAGTAATTGCCTTGGTTGTTCTCCATGTTTCCGCCCCATACAATATTACTGATTTGACATTAGAATTAAACATTTTTAGTTTAGTATTTTTTAAAATTTCTTTTGACCTCAACAAATTCCCTAGTGCTATGAAAGCACCCTTTTGTATTCTAATTTAAATTTCTCTATCAGTTCCTCCATCTTTATCTACTTTACTGCCCAAAAAGGTGAACGACTCCATCTCTCAGAATGGGGTGCCATTAAGAGAAACGACATTACTATTTGCCTGATTTATTCTCATTATCTTTGTCTTTCCTTTATGGATTTTCAGACCAAGCTTTCTATTTAACAGCATTATAATAATGAAAGTTAGCTCACTGCTTAGGATTTGGGACCCTTTTTCGTAATTCCAGAATAACAGGTTCGATTCCAGCTGCTGGCGGTTTGGTAGCAATCCAACTTGCGTTCATTTCTGCAGAAGTATAGAGAGCCAAAAGTAAATTAAGCAATGGCAAACTACTAAATTTCCTTGTAAAACCAAAACAGTCAACAAATGCCCTGATTAGTTCTTAAACGTCCTGAACTGTAACGATGCTGAATGGTAACTAACTATAATAATACATTAACAAAAATACGAAATGTATATAAACAAACACAAACTAATTTTTTAAAAATAATTGTTATACAACGTTGCTTAGGCTCCTTACAAAATTACTGGAGTGTTGGGGGGAGGGGGGGGGGTAATTACCCCGTTTGTTTGGGGTGGGGGGGGGGGGGGGGGGGGGGGGGGTGGGGGAGGAAGCGATTCAAGTGGCCTCAACCACCAAGTATCGGCACCACTGATGTCATGTATGATATGTCTGAATTAGGGACGCACTATATGATATGTCTGAACTAGGGACGCACTATATGATATGTCTGAATTAGGGACGGACTATATGAAATGTCTGAATTAGGGACGCACTATATGAAATGTCTGAATTAGGGACGCACTATATGATATGTCTGAATTATAGACGCACTGTATGACATGTCTGAATTAGAGACGCACTATATGATATGTCTGAATTATAGACGCACTGTATGACATGTCTACATTAGGGAGGCAGTGTATGGCATGTCAAAATTAGAGACGCACTGTAGGAAAAGTCAAAATTAGGGACGCACTGTAAGAAATGTCTACATTAGAGATGCCCTTTATGAAATGTCTAAATTATCGAAGCACTGTATAAAATGCCTTCATCAGGGTCTCACTGTATGACATGTTAAAATTAGGCGCGCACTGCATGAAATGCCTAAAAAAGAGACGAACTGAATGACATGTCTACATTAGGAAAGCGCTGTATGACATGTCTACATTAATTACGCTCTGTATGTAATATCTTTCGTAATGCCGGGATGCCGGGTTCGATTCCAGCTGCGGGCCATTGGCCTTGCGTTGGTTTCGACAGTGGTATCAAGAAAGCCGAACGTCCAGAAGCAATGGCAAACTAATAGACGTAAATTTGCCTAGAAAAACCACACAACAGCCAGGGGCTTTTGAGGTTGGCTCTGCAACGTCCTGTAAAGGACACGCAACTAACTAACCTATGTAATATCTACAAAAGGGACGCACTGTATACAATGTCTAAATTAGGGACGCACTGTATGACATTTCTACATAAGGAGCGCACTGTTGATTTGTCTACATTAAGGATGCACTGTATGAGATATCAAAACTAGGGACATACTGTATTAATTGTCTACATTAGGGGACAGTGTATGAAAATTCAAAATCAGGGTCGCACTGTATAAAATTTCTACATTAGGGAAGGGCTGTATGAGATGTCTAAATTAGGGACGCACTGTATGAATTGTCAAAATTAGGGACACACTGTATGAAATATGTACATTAGGGACACACTGTATGAAATATCTACATTAGGGGCGCACTGTATGAGATGTCTAAATTAGGGACGCACTGTTTGAATTGTCTACATGAGGAACGCACTGTATGAGATGTCTAAATTAGGGACGAACTGTACAAAATGTCTACATTAGGGGCGCACCATATAAAATGTCTATAATAGGGGGGCACCATATGAAATGTCTATATTAGGTGTGCACCATATGAAATATCTATATTAGGTGTGCACCATATGAAATATCTATATTAGGTGTGCACCATATGAAATGTCTATATTAGGGGTGCACCATATGAAATGTCTATATTAGGTGTGCACTATATGAAGTGTCTATATTAGGGGTGCACATATGAAATGTCTATATTAGGGATGCACCATATGAAATGTCTATATTAGGTGTGCACCATATGAAATGTCTATATTAGGGGTGCACCATATAAAAAGGTATATAAAAGGGGTGCATGATACGAAATGTCTAAATTAGGTCTGCAACATTTGAAATGTCTATATTAGGGTGCACCATAAGAAATGTCTATATTAGAGGTGCACATATGAAATGTCTACACTAGGTCTGCACCATAAGAAATGTCTACATTAGGTCTGCACCATAAGAAATGTCTACATTAGGGGTGCACCATAAGAAATGTCTATATTAGGGGTGCACATTTGAAATGTCTATATTAGGGTGCACTATTTGAAATGTCTATATTATGGTGCACCTTTTGAAATGTCTATTTTAGGGTGCATCATAAGAAATGTCTATATTAGGGTGCACCATTTAAAATGTCTATATTAGGGTGCACCATTTAAAATGTCTATATTAGGGTGCACCATAAGAAATGTCTATATTAGGGTGCACCATTTGAAATGTCTATATTAGGGTGCACCATTTAAAATGTATATATTAGGGTGCACCATTTGAAATGTCTATATTAGGGTGCATCATAAGAAATGTCTATATTAGGGTGCACCATTTGAAATGTCTATATTAGGGTGCACCATTTGAAATGTCTATTTAGGGTGCACTATTTGAAATGTCCTTATTAGGGTGCACCATTTGAAATGTCTATAATAGGGTGCACCATTTGAAATGTCTACATTAGGTCTGCACCATTTGAAATGTCTATATTAGGGTGCACCATTTGAAATGTCTACATTAGGTCTGCACCATTTGAAATGTCTATATTAGGGTGCACCGTTTGAAATGTCTACATTAGGTCTGCACCATTTGAAATGTCTATATTAGGATGCACCATTTGAAATGTCTACATTAGGTCTGCACCATTTGAAATGTCTATATTAGGGTGCACCATTTGAAATGTCTACATTAGGTCTGCACCATTTGAAATGTCTACATTAGGGACGCACTGTAAAGCCATTTAGTAAAAATGCAGCCAGACCAAACTTTAGATGAGGCCTTCACCACAACACGTTTGGGCGGAAGGCGAGAGAAAGAAAAAGGTAGAGATGGACTGACGGCGTAGATGAAACCTGAGAAAAGTTAGATACAAGCATCACTGAGGCTCCATGGAGAGCGGAAGACAAATAAAGGAAACCCAGGTGACTGGGCTACAGCCAGGGACAATGTGAGGACAAAAGAAGAAGTATGAACTGTCGATTACTGCCTTTATTTTACCACTGTAACGGTACAGGCGGGGATGTGTGTGGGCGGTGCAGGCGGGGATGTGTGTGGGCGGTGCAGGCGGGGATGTGTGTGGGTGTGGGCGGTGCAGGCGGGGATGTGTGTGGGCGGTGCAGGCGGGGATGTGTGTGGGTGTGGGCGGTGCAGGCAGTGGTGTGTGTGGGTGTGGGCGGTGGCAGTGCGGCGGGATCTGTGTGGGCGGTGCAGGCGGGGATCTGTGTGGGCGGTGCAGGCGGGGATGTGTGTGGGCGGTGCAGGCGGGGATGTGTGTGGGTGTGGGCGGTGCAGGCGGGGATGTGTGTGGGTGTGGGCGGTGCAGGCGGGGATGTGTGTGGGTGTGGGCGGTGCAGGCGGGGATGTGTGTGGGCGGTGCAGGCGTGGATGTGTGTGGGTGTGGGCGGTGCATGCGGGGATGTGTGTGGGCGGTGCAGGCGGGGATGTGTGTGGGTGTGGGCGGTGCAGGCAGTGGTGTGTGTGGGTGTGGGCGGTGCAGGCGGGGTTCTGTGTGGGCGGTGCAGGCGGGGATCTGTGTGGGCGGTGCAGGCGGGGGTGTGTGTGGGTGTGGGCGGTGCAGGCAGTGGTGTGTGTGGGCGGTGCAGGCGGTGGTGTGTGTGGGCGGTGGGCGGGGATGCAGGGGCGGGGGCATCTGTGTGGGCGGTGTGCGGTGCAGGCAGTGGTGTGTGTGTGGCAGTGGGTGTGTGTGGCGGTGCAGGCAGTGGTGTGTGTGGGCGGTGCAGGCAGGGATGTGTGTGGGCGGTGATCTGGCAGTGGTGTGTGTGTGGCGGTGCAGGCAGTGGTGTGTGTGGGTGTGGGCGGTGCAGGCAGTGGTGTGTGTGGGCGGTGCAGGCGGGGATGTGTGTGGGCGGTGCAGGCAGGGGTGTGTGTGGGCGGTGCAGGCGGGGGTGTGTGTGGGCGGTGCAGGCGGGGATGTGTGTGGGCGGTGTGGGGTGGTGTGGGCGGTGGGGCGGGGTGTGTGTGGCGGTGAAGGCGAGGATGTGTGTGGGCGCAGCGGGGGGTGCGGTGAAGCCGAGGATGTGTGTGGGCGGTGCAGGCGGGGGTGTTTGTGGACGGTGCAGGCGGGGGTGTTTGTGGGCGGTGCAGGCTGGGGTGTGTGTGGGCGGTGCAGGCGGGGGTGTGTGTGGGCGGTGCAGGCGGGGGTGTTTGTGGGCGGTGCAGGCTAGGGTGTGTGTGAGCGGTGCAGGCGGGGGTGTGTGTGGGCGGTGCAGGCGGGGGTGTGTATAGGCGGTGCAGGCAGGGGGAGGAGGGGGTCTTTGAGCCTGAGGATTTAAGGCCACATGGCTAGTGCTGTCGCCACGACTGTGTAGGTGGGGTTTTTATTTTTTTTTTCCTGACAGAACAAATCCACAGCCTTACCGACGATTCGAACCTTGGTCTCACGATTGAGAGTTCAGCGTTTTAACCGTTTGGCCAGTCGCTTCACAAAGAAGAAGAAAACAATGTGTAAATTAGGGATGCCAGGAATAAACTGGAATCAGTGAGGAATATCAGTCAAGAAATGTCTACAGCTAAATCAGTTATAAATGCCCTGTATCCAATGTCCATATTTATATACAAGACCCTTTGCCACGCTTTCAGGCGTATTTAGCATATAGGGCTAGACCTATTTGGACAGAACAGTCGGCACTAAATGTGTTATGTGGTCAACATCAAACTAGCCGCATTTACATCCCAGGACTTTACGTGACACCGATTTAGGGTTGGAATGCCCTGGGAAGCATCTTAAGTACGATACTATAGAGTTTTGCAGAGGGAAAGAAGAGAAGAGACACGTCAGGGAAGACTAGATACATAATTGGGCTGAATGGACAGGCTAAATGTACAGAGGTCGAGTCCATTGCATTCGACTGACCCGGGTAAAGAAAGCTTGCCAGACAATCGACAGCAACTGGTGACCCAACGATATGAAGTGTTATGGGGCTATGTTAATAGTGATGAATATTTCAGCTATGAATCAAATAAACGACGAATAGATCATGTCCAGACAGACTTACAAACATTTGGTGTCACCAACTGGAAAGAGAAGGCCAACCAGAGAGATGAATGGAGGCGGGTGATTTCTGCAGGATTAAATCTCACTCAAGGGCTCGGAATGCTGAAGAAGAAGAAGATGAATCAAATAAACAGGTTTATCCCGTAGGCATACAACGACAGCAAATCAAATAGTTTGCCCACTAAGAGAGAATGCCTTGTGATGCCATGCCATACAAAGAAGACAGTAAAAGTAAAAATGGACGAAGAGCGCAAGGTGGACCTAGAAAAGGATCAAATGAGAACATCACAAATGTCTACAAGATCACGATGTGTGCATGGTCGAGGGAGGCAGAAGAGCAAGAAGCGGAACCTGGTGTCTCCCTCGACACCCAATGTTGTAAAAGAGGAAGTGACGAAGAAGAAGAATCTCAGGAACAACAAACGAATCCAGACAAGGTGTTACCAACTCTGTCACCTTTACCGTCGTTACTCACACTTTACATAAACATTCCCTCGCCTCACCCTCCCTGCTTTCACAAACATCATTGCTGTCTGTCCTCCCAGCATCCTCTTCAGCCTCACAAACGACTGTCTCAAGAACATCCCGCCAAACCGGAAGTCCGGGGAGGTAATCAGGTTACAGTGTCCCGAGTGTTGGAATGAATTACTCGCCCGTCCATCACTAACCGGTTCTATAAAGTGTGCCATTGTCTGCGCAGGGAGATATGGGTCGTTAGGATGTCGCCACTGGTCCGGCTAGGAGGACAAACACTGGTCACTAAGATTAATTGAAGGGGTCCAGGAGAGCCCTGGTGATGGTAATATGCCCAGGAAGGATGATTTGTCAGATCAGCGGAAGTCAAGGTCAGATGGGAATTGGTAACATTGTTCATGGTTTCTTGATATGGATTCTTTATTAGGGTCGGGTGTCTTGTAGTGGTTAATTTCTGACCGTCAACAGAGGAAGCTTTTTCGCATACTGTCTTTTACTTAAGTTTTCCTGTTGTTGTTCTTGACCAAAGCGCTTCCTATGTTTCTTTGTCAACATTCTCTTCCACTTCCTCCTCTCCATCTCTCTTTCTGTTGAATGTTAAATTCTTCTTCTTCTTCTTCCTCCTCCTCCTCCTCCTCCTCTTCTTCTTCTTCTTCTTCTTCTTCTTCTTCTTCTTCTTCTTCTTCTTCTTCTTCTTCTTCTTCTTCTTCTTCTTCTTCTTCTTCTTCTTCTTCTTCTCCTCCTCCTCCTCCTTTTTTTCTCCTTCTCCTCATCCTCCTCTACATTCTTCTTATTATTATTCTGTGTGTTCACCAGTTGTCTGTCTGTCTGTCTGTCTGTCTGTCTGTCTGTCTGTCTGTCTGTCTGTCTGTCTTGCACTCAAGTATTTTAAACAATTTGTTGCTGTCGCTCTGGCTTCCACATTCTCTTGTCTGTTTCGGATGCTCCTTCTTGACTGTCAACTCATGTCTTCCTCTTGTCTTCATCCAGTCTTAAACTTGTTGTGAATGTCCATCCCGCCCAGCTGTTGCTATCTCCATGTCTTTATCCCCACCTGTTTACATTTCTATCTTGTAACTCGTCCACATTTATTTTTACCCTGTTTGATTATGTTTCACACAATCAGGTGCCATCTCCGCACTAGAGTTTGGCAGCAATTGGTTTTTTAATGATCCATCTATTCATCGTTTCATTCTATGTGTATCGTTGCATATCTCTTGTTGTTAACCTCTTTTTTCCTGAAGTATAGTTTTTTGAAATTATTTTTCCTTTTAATGTGGTCCGCAAATTTTATTTCTTCATAATTTTCATTTGGTAAAGCTATTTTAAATTCCAAATGATTTTAATTAGCCGAGTCGTTTAACGCTGCTTTTTTTTTTTTTTTTGTCTCTTTTCAGTGCAATGGCATGAGTTATGTTAACTTCTCTTGTACTGCCGTTTCCCGAACCTAGATAATTAAAGATTACAACATGTTCAATTCTGTTGTTTCACATTTGTGGGTAACATGCAAGTTTGTATGTGGACATTATTATTATTACCATTGAACAGTCTGTATTGCCCCCAACATTGCACCTAGATATTCAACAATTGTGACATTTCCAAATTTTTTTATGATTATGGTGACAGACAGGTTTGTGTATGGACATTACTTTTGTTTTCTCAAAATGTGATTATCTAATAAGTATCATAAATGATAATAACTATGAGAACATCATTAAGGTGACGGATATAAAACATATTGAAAAAAAAAAAAAAAAAAAAGATATGGCGCGGGGCCAGACGGAGCTTTGAAGACATATGGGATACGGCTTTCGCCTTCAACGATATCATTAGAACAGAGTTTAGTACCCCAGGATTGGGTGCACAGCTATTTGATTTGACCCCAAAACTGGACGAAGTTCAGTCAATAATCAGCGGCTTCAGGGTTATCACTCTACAAAATACGTTTGTCCAAGGTGATGGAAAAGATTGTTACTCCCTTCTTTGCATTTGATGTTTATGCAGGGTTCCAAAATGGACAGGAGTCGGTAGCGGAAACACTTGATCTTAAGAATGCCTGGAACAGATTCAGATATGATAGTTTGATGTTCTCGCTTACTGAGATGTGGGTCTGCCTCTAGATAGTTAATGCCGGCCACATTTACTTCTTCAAACCCACCACTAGTACCTTAGGTTCAGTCCACCTTGAGGCCAGTTCCCTCATTAGCTGGATATCAGCTGTCCTGTGTACTCCTGTATGGTTGCCCTTTGTCTGGGTTCATGCGTTTCAGAGCCGTGCAATGTTGTACCAGAACTAATACGGGGATCTGCAATTTTCCCGGTGTTCTTCAATATTTAAGCGAACGAGATTGCAGAACCTGAAGTACCTGGTGTTGGAAGGATGATGACATTTGCAGATGATGTTCTTGCATGTGGACAGGGAAGAGAGAGAGAGAGAGAGAGAGAGAGAGAGAGAGAGAGAGAGAGAGAGAGAGAGAGAGAGAGAGAGAGAGAGAGAGAGAGAGAGAGAGCGAGAGAGAGAGAGAGGCAACAGCCAGTTTAAGAGCTAAAAGCAACAAGGGACTAAGGTACTGGCTGGTATACGGAGAGAAAGTGGACGGTTTAAAGGTGCTCTCTGGACATTTATGTGGAGTGTGAGAACCGATTTCCAAAGCCTCACAGTTTTTGACAAAAACTTTTAAAGAGAAAGCCAACTGAAGCTGGGTATCACATTCGATAAAAGCCTGCTTTTCAACGACCATGAAGAGGTAGTTGCAGCAAAAATACCAAAAGCGGCTTAGTGCACTGAAGACTTACGGCAACGAACATGGAGCAAAGAATGCTGTTCACAATGTACCAGCACTTGATTATCTCAGTGGTGTTTTATGAACTTGGACTGCTTAACGCGTCAAAAAGTCAGCCAGTGAAGCTTGAACGCATTCAGAATGAAGTCATGCGGGGGATTCTTGGATGTACTAGCGATATCCCGGAAATGTCTGTATGTCATATATATTTGTGTTGTTGATGATTGCAGACAGTCTCGAAGTGTTGAAAGCGAGCAGAAGTGGGTCAAAGTGTCCCAAAGATTACCCAGCATGCACTGCAGAATCTCAAATTTAAGAAATTATCGTCATCATCATCATCATCATCATCATCATCATCATCATCATCATCATCATCATCATCATCATCT